AAACACGAAGAACCATGTTTAAAAGCTGGAGAGAAATTTTAAAATTTGCATGGTTTCGTTATTTATCCTTCACCATTCAGTAGAAAATATTTTAAAACGAAAATCTTCACAATTTAAATTATGTATGATTGAATCAATCAAGTAAGTTAGCTCACCGTGGAGGAGGGAAGTATGAGTTTGCAAATAACACTCTTTCTGTTTTTAACCAATTAAGTTAGTCAACAATATTGGTTTATCAACAATTATCAATTATCAATCATTGAGATGGGGACGCCACCAAGGTGCGTAATTTAACCGAAATTTGAGTGGAGGATGAGTGTAGAATGGTGTGTGACCTGTGTAGCTTGTAACTGACTAAGTTCAACTGTTTCATTAGCCAGGATCATTTATTTAAAGCCCAATGATCAGGAACAGCTGGGTCCAGTTTCGAACCATCAAAAAGCTTCTGACTTTTCTCAGAATCGAACCGGCGACCTTTTTGATTATTATGCGAGCACTATAACCACTCAGATACCCAGCCACATCGAAATATTAAAGAAAGCAGGAGCCTATTAAAGAAGAGTTAGTTTTGTAATGGAATAAAATTTGTTGAAAAGATTGGCCAAAATTCAAATGCCACACGCTTTCATCGGTCGCCCGGTACAATATAAATTAAGCTGGAGTTTTATTTTTACGATTGTGCACGTACCGTATGGATATGATTTAGTAATAAATTTAAACGTTTACCAGACCTTACATATTGTAAAGAAAATGTAAAATCGGGGTTGGATAAATGTCCTAATAAACAATTTTCGAGATTACAGTAATACTATTTTAAATTTGTTTGAGTTGACGTGGAAATGTTTATCGCTCTAAATGATTCACAATTGAAAAAAATACTTTTTTTTAATACACAATAAAAATGGCTTAACTATTTTTTCTAGTGTGTAGTAAGCTAACCGAAAAATAAAAAAATGTGAAACGGCCAAAAAGTTGTCACATACAGGCTACAGCAAACAAAAACTGGTTTTTCACGTTTTTAGACCATATTTCAAAGTAACATATCTAAGAAACTATGCAACATATTGCGCTGCTCATGGTCTAATTTTGAAAATAATGATTTAATCTAAACATTTAGGTAGATTTATCATGGTTGCATTAGTGGTTTGTTTATAAAAATCGTTGAGTAAACTTTAGACTTTTTTTAAAAAGACATGCATATATATATATATAAAATTATGTTCATAAGCAACATATTTACCTAAAAGTCTAATTCTACCTAAATATTTAGTAAAAGATCTACTAAGTATGTGGTGGAAATGTGAACCCTCTATCTCAATTGGTTCTCAAGATATATCGATTTTTGTCAATGTTTTTTAAATTCAAGCTTTCGGAAAACAGCGTTTGAAAGTAAAAATGTGAAATTTTGGACATTGACGTGTATGCAAAAATTGTTAGTTTTTCATACTAAGGGTTAAGATATTAGGTCTTAGGGTACTATATTCTTGTTCAGTAAGTTCAAAATGACATAATCAGGCAAAAATACTTTTTTTGAAAATTTTATGATTTTTCACTACCCCTATTTTCAGTGGTGAATCCCCTTAACCCATTTAACGATAGTCCACGTACTCATTGAAAAACGTTCCAAAAACTGCGATTCATAGTTAAGTCGGATATATCTTAGCTTTTAATTATTCAAAGCGAAATAATTATAATCTCTGAATATACGAAGTTTAGTAAAATTTTATATTTTTGTGTTGCAAATACAATAAAATAAATAAACGACGGATCACTCAAGATCTAACGTGTCACTGACTACAAGCCTACTTCTTATGTCATCAGTCTTCAAATCCAATAAGATAAATACAAACTGATTTTGTAATAGACTGCACTATACGAAATCTCACAGCATGAAAGTTTAGTGCCACTTTGAGTACCACTAATATTTATTTTATCAGTAGGCCTACGGTGGAATAAATATGTATTCTACATATCAAATGTGTATGCATCTTGAGAGTGTATTTAGGTTATCCCACTGTTGTAAAAGCTTCTCATGAACGTTGACATTTCGTTTAATGAGGTCACTAGTTCCACAGTATTGCAGCAAAGAATACTTGGATACAATATCAACGTCCCCAAACAAACTATACTTGTTCGAGTTGAAATCGGCACATTATATTTTAGGGTTGAACCAGTGCCTAGGCTTCAAATAAAAATTCAATTACTTTTTTGGAAGTTCATTTTTTTTGTTATGGTAATTTTATGTTCTTTTAGGGACTGCATATATTTACCACCACAAGTAGTAAAATAAGTTTTTAAGTGGTTTAGGTGTTATCACGCCTGAGGATGGGATCAAACTTCATATATCGAAATGATGTAAAACTTTGTGTTTTTTTACCTATTTTAAAAGGAAATTTCCGAAAAAAATCCCTCAAATAACAAACATGCAAAGTACAAAAATAGTTCAGAGACGGATTATCCGGGGTTTACACACTACGATAAAACATCTCTTAATTCAGTGGAGAAGAAGAATATATTAAAAACATAACATTTTATGTCAAAATCAACAACGTTGATCCATCTATTTTTGTCGTCTAAGTTTATTTAGGGCTGGTCTAGTACATTTTCGTCATAGTGGTTAAAGTTAAAGATGGTGTCCGTATATTAAGTCAGTCTTCAAAGAGGGCGCAATATGTCCTTTTGTTTATATATCTACATTTCATTACTGTGTTTCCTGTTTATCTTGATTAATTAGAGCTGTAGTTGTGTAATTAAAGAGCTTATCACAAATGATGACAACGGTAAGATCCAAACATAAATAATCTTACGATTGTTTTTCATACATATTTAAGTTTAGCTTTAATCAACTGTATCAGTAGACAAACATTGCAAGAGAATTCTTCCCTAAAGATACCCTTCCTTTTTAAAAACTTAAGCATAGTAAGACACATAAACCAAACACATTACTGCTTAATGAAAAGATTAAGCAATTGATTAATCATACTAATATTATAAAATGTGAAAGTTTGTGTGTTTGTATGTTTGTTTGTTTACTAAATAATTGGTGTAAATACCTGCATTTATGTGATCAATGTGTTGCTAAATATTGCATCCGGTTTTGACTCACAAAGGAGTCATCGTCGGGCCAGTACAGATGTCTTCTTGCTTGATTGGAAGGTCGTCAATTCATAATAAATAAATACGTTTCAGTATAAAAAACATACTGTTATAGTGTATACAAATAAATGCAATTTAGCAACACATTGATCTTATAAATGCAGGTATTTACACCAATTATTTAGTATTTAAATGAGATCAGGAGGCTCAAATTCAATATAATTTGTTTGTTTGTTTGAAGTTCTATCACACATTAATTACAGGACAGATTGGGCTGAAATTTGGCATGATGATAGCTCACATTCCCGATTAACATATAGGCATATTTTTATCTCAAAAATCCTCTTCGGCTCCACCCCAGTGGCTCTGTAGTTCCCCATGTTAACTACTACTAAAGCATACCGTAAATTTAAAGAAGCAAATTTTACCAAACTGTGTCCTCCTCCATTGCAAACGCAAAGCTTCAGTAGAACTGCAATAAGCATTTTATACTTATACTAGCTGTACCCGCGGGCTTTGTCCCGTTTAACTTCATATGTGAGCTCGTTCGCATGGCTCAATCACGTCCTGGTTGAATTTCGTTCGCTACGCTCACTCACCTTTAGGTTGGAGCACGTTCGCTGCGCTCACACGTCCTGGTTGAAGTTCGTTCGCTACGCTCACTCACCTTTAAGTTGGAGCTCGTTCGCTGCGCTCACTTGCCTTCAGGTTAGCTCGTTCGCTACGCTAACTCGCCTCTGGGTTGAAGTTCGTTCGCTTTGCTTAGGTTTAAAATTAGCTGTTGTCAAATATTAAAAAAAAATAATAGTGCTGCACTCTGTTGGTAATTCTTGTAACTTTAATGCTATTGGACATCATAGAACAGAACCAACTTGTTTAATTGAAACAGCTGTTAAGATTCATTTATTCCATTTCTCATAAGGTTAACATGGGAAACTCCAGAGCCACTGGGGCGGAGCCCGAGAGTCCGATCAGAATAAAAACCACTTAGTTTTCCTATTTAATGCCTAAAGAATCAGTGTGCCAAATTTCAGCCTCCTAGGTAAATGGGCAGTGGGAGAATTAGTGATGAGTGAGTCAGTCAGTGAGGGCTTTGCCTTTTATATATATAGATGCCAACCCCGTACGAAGGACTGGTACTCTGCTAGTATAATATAAATACGGTCTACGATTAGAGGCCGTATAGGATCAGCCTACTTGATATCACAAATCAAATTCCAATTTTAACTTTTAGGTCGATGATGTTCACAAAGGTAAAATAATTACCTACTTTATTATGAAAAAAAGACAACCACCATTTAAAAATTAGTAAAGTAATTTTAATTAGGCCAATCCGCGATTTATTTTAAAAATATTTATTTACAAAAACCAAATACGTCTCAAAAATTATTTTATTTCCGATTTGTGTTACACATTCATGTGATTTTTTCACATTCAAACTACAACACTGCAGTCAAAGAGTAGGCAATGAAGGCACTAATAATATAAAACAATAAGCTAAATCCTCCAAGTGAATAATATAAAAAAGCTTTATTACTTTAAATTTAGCGGGTATTTACACTCATTCGAGTAATTAATTGTGGATTTAAGATATTAGAGATACCAAAACTGTACAGCAAAATCTTCCAAACCCAAAGTAAAGATAAAGATTAAGATTGAAACAATAAAATAAAATAACAAACTAAATATTACAGTTAAAACTCCGATATGTACAATCACCCACTAAAGTGCTACCGTAGATGTTGACCAGCAACACACAACAGACAAGTCAACTCCCGATCCAAACCAATTGTGCTCGCAAACCAATTACCGATTGGTCCACAGACTGACGATTGGATGTCATCGCGTTCTGCACTCACGGGTGTTGGTTTATCTGTAAAACATACAATAGTTGTCTTACTTACTGGTAATTGGTGGATGTAGATTTATCAAAGATCGTCGAGGATACTACCGCAGCCTCTTCTGGTCCTGGCGCATGCGCAGGAACGCTCGCCGATACTGTCCACCCGCACACCCACCACACACCCCTAGATCCTACAGCGTTTGACACATCAATTCCTTGTTGACGAATGTGCATTGCACTTATAATCGTTAGAATAGAATCAATTCAGATTTCTCCGAAGGTTTAACTACATTGAATAGGGGATGGGAAGTTATGCTTCCCCGACTTGGATTTTTTACGCTATGGAACGGTCCAAACCCCGGTATTTTAATGTCGACCTTTTGTTAACTAATATTTGGTCAGTTGAGAATACTTAAACTGGAAAATATTAAAAGAGCCTAATTTAGACGTACGAAAATAAATTCCTGTTAAATACAATAACGTTATTTAACCGTTTGTTACTTTCATGCTCGCTTGACAGGTTTATCGTTCAAGGTTCAAACTGCCCTTCTAACGTCGTGTGGAAATATTATACTTTGTGTCCATACAATAACCGATTCATTTTAAGATTCTACTAAGCCGCGCACATTGCATCGGGATATAAACTTACAAAAATAGCTGTTAATACATTGATTATATAAATATTTATTTTATAATGTTGACTATTAATTATAACTAGCTTGATTACTTTATAGCCCAATGAAAAATGGTATCTGGGTTCAGAAACGATATTGTTCGGAACTGAACTAGTGACCTCCATATTTAAAGCGAACACAACAACTAATCGGCTATCTAGATAAGATTTTTTTCATAATTATGTATTCGAAAATAGCCCATTTCCTGAGATCTTCAAAAATTTTCAATAATTTCCATACACCAAAAACAAATAGTGATCAGCTGACTTTTCCTGACAAAAACATTACTTCCGCTACACAAACATACTTTGCCTGGCACCAACAAATTTTGTTTGATTGTTTTGGCAGTTTGTTGATGTTCAATCAGCTGAATTATACGATAACATTAATTTTACGCCAGTAGAACCTCTTTAATCCGAACCCCTGTAATCCGAACGTCCACTAATCCGAACGCCTCATTGCTGTACTCTATACACAGTACAGTAGTTCTTTATTGTATACTGTATTTATTGATATACGCACCGTAATTATTTCAACTGTAATGTACAGTACTGTTTATTCCCAATGTTTACTACACTATTAAATAAACACTGTATTTTACTTTGTAAAGCAATTTACACTTTTCTCTAGCTATTGTTATGTAAAAACAACAATATGTTTTTCTGTAATCCGAACTATTCAATAGTCCGAACTACCCCCGGTCCCAATTAGTTCGGATTAAAGAGGTTCTTCTTTTCACGAACTTCCCATGCAAGGATTTAGTCCAGAAAACAGCTGTTTGCCACCAGCTTAATCAAATGGAGTTTCATTGCGTACTACTGTACTGTAATGAGTTTTACCGGACACCAATCAGCTGATTATACTGTATTTGGGTGGCAATGAGTGGTTGTAAACAAAAAACATAACCTCTCGCTTCGAGGTTATGACTAGTGATTGTTAGTCCTTTAGTCAGTGATAATATATAAGGATTTGTACAGATTTAGTAGTATGTCGTAAACTATCGTACGTTACTAATCCAAAATGTGTTTACCGGACTCGTATGGTAATCCCGTACTCGACTTCTCGCACGGGAACGACCACACTCGTCCGGCAAACACTTATTTTTAGGACTAGTAACGTAATATACTATTTACGCCATACTACTCTAGCAGCTAAACAATAAAAATCGCTATATATTTCCACCGACTAAAGGACTAACAATCATTACTATCACCCCTATGAGAGGTTATGTTTTTGTTTTTAACCACTCATTGCCAAAGATAATCAGCTATATTATAGTTAGTATCCGGTAAAAACTCATTACAGTACAGTAGTGGCCTATGTAATGAAACCCCATTTTATTAAGCTGGCGGCAAACAGCTGTTTTCTGGACTAAATCCTTGCATGGGAAGTTCGTTAAAACATTGTAGTGTGAAGTATTATACACCCTGTATAAGCAAACATGTTTCTTGAAATTATATTTTTCAGCTTGTGTGCATCGCAGGGGAAATCTACGCATACTGTTAGAAAGATATTAGCCTGTAGATGTGCACAGTTCCTTTATAAATTAAAATAAGCTCAAAAATAAGCACAACAAATGAATTTAAAATGTAACACAGGCTTATGGGTTGCCATGCTAGTGACGAAATAACAACGAAATATGAGCAGAAAATAAAAACAAATGGAAGAAATTCCAATCACATGTTTTATTTTCAGCGTGGGGTGAAAATAGAGAAGTCTGTACTTTACGTATTTTTGGTTGAGTTTTCGACCACTGGACGACTTCTAGTATAAATTAATACTTGAATCATTAACGAATCTTGCATTAATTTATTTTACTTTGTATCTAAATAAAACATAAGATTTTCACGTGAATTAAACCAAGACAAATTTAAAGGGGATAGAAAGTTTCCGTGTGAAAATTATGCGAGTCTTAATTAGCAATGTCGTTACTGTAGACAGGTATTCACAAGAGACAAGTATTAAGAAAACAAAGCGTAAATGGAAGTATTGTCCTGCTTGTTCATTAATCAGAAGGGTAAATTGACATCTTAGGAGCCTTGCTACATTTGATCAGTTAATTGCCTTGGCTGGATTTTACGGAGATGTTTTCAATTCAATCAAAATTTTGGGCCTAGCTTTTGAATATAGAACCGATTTAAAGATTTATTTCAACAATAAACTAGATTGAACGCTTGTAGAGTTGATGGCATAAGTTCAAATAACTGTAGATTATTACAGTTATTTACAGTTATTTATACAGTTATTTGAACTAAAATTAAAATAAAATACAATCTAAAATACCCCCGCCGCAGCAAACCTGCAGACTAAGCGAATTTCCATTTGACTGATTGGATTTACACTGAAATGTCTACTTAAAAATATAACATTTATTCCCGATTAAATAGAATTAGTTTAAAAAGTACTTAGGTTTGCTGCATCAGGGAGGGTAAAACTGTTTTTTTTTTGTAAAATGTTAGTAATTTCTCCTACCAGCCACAATCCTTATCTCCTTCTTCAGATCGCCTTAGAGACAAAGAGGCTACAAACTAAAAAGTCACACCTCTAAACTTATGATATAAAGTACCTGGGTGTCATACACAGGGAAAAATAGGTGTAGTACAAGAGCAATCCTTGTTCAACGCTATTTATCTAAACGTTCTTCAAAAATGTATTTGTAATCCATTAAATAGTACTTTACTGTTTGCTAACTTGTTAATCTATTCAGAGATTTTTTGTTTCTTTCGTTTACAATGTTGCTAATTTTGTAACCAACATGGTAACCCGTTAGGATTCTTAAAATACTTGAATTGTTTAACCCTGAGTTTGTACTCTCTCCCCCTAAACATATAGTATTTGGAGAGAGTATTGTTTTTGTAAACATTTTTGAGTTGGAGTTTTGGGTGGTTATATTATTTTCGGTCCCACTGAACAAAAAAGTGGGTTTCAAATTAAATTTTGTACATGGGTACCAATCCATGGTATCTACATGGGGTTTTTCATTATTGTAAATTATGTTTTTAACGATGATTTTTTCCATAAAAGGACAGAAAAAACATTTTTTTTAAACCCCTCTAATGCTGATTTTGAATAAATTTATATTATGTTATAGACCTTTTAACTCTTAACAAAACGTTGCGACCCTCATTAGCTGTAAAAACTACAGCTCAAGAGTTATTGCAGCTTTTGTGATTTTACCCATAAAAAATATATGACAAATATACAAAATAACTATGGCTTTCCCACTGCCTGTCCATAAGGGTTGTTGACAAGCTATAATGGGAGAAAACATGTGTTGGATTGCTGATACCGTTTATTTTCAAACAGTGTTGACCATAAAATTGTTCAAACCAATGTATGAAAGTTATCCTTTCCACCGATGTTGGAAAACAATTTACTACAGCTAACAAACTTTACCCCTCCTATGTATGGGGAAAATCACAAGTTGCAATTCTTGCATTTAAAAAAATGTCACTTAAAATCTTTAAAAATGATGGTAAACATCCACCTACTTCTGTTGGTGTATTATAATATATTCTACCGTAAGGATCACTTTCTGATAACTATGGTATTGTATGTAGATTGTGTTAGGAAGGGAGTATACAGTATTGAAGCGGGATATGCATTGTTATGTAATGATACCCGGGTGAGCCTTGAATGGGTCGGTTATTGAGTGCAGCTGCATTAACCTCCGCCTCAAGCTTTCCTTTCAGTCCTTTCACTATTGTTGTCAATGTTGTCTCAGTTCAAAATAACACTTTACCAATTACTAGAATGAGAAGTTTGCTGTCAACCTGTAATTTTACAATATAGATGTACACAGTTTGTTCAAAAACATACTTCGTATTTTAAGTTACTTAAACATTCTTTGCTTACTTAATCAACATGTTTCAAATTAAATTCTGCTTAAAAATGTGGTTTAGAGATTGAAGCGTGCATGTACAGTAATTTCTCTATATTCCAATTGTCAATAAATATTTTGCAAATATACTTTTCAGTAGGTAGTGGTTGCTTTTTCATAAATGGCTCAGATATAAGAAAATCACTGAATTATGTTTACATCGTCCATCAGAAACTTAACTACATGTGCAACATTTTTAAAGCTTTTTTACCTACTCTTTTAAGTAGGGCCTATGCGGTTTCTTCCATAAAAAAACACAACAAATATTCAGATTTGAACCATCTATATAAATAAAATTAGAGTTTTGTCTGTACATTGCTCAGAATTATATACTTTTAGGTTATTTTTACGTTTTATACATTAAAGAAGCAGAAACGAGTCTTATCTCAATTTCTGTCTGTCTGTCTGTCTGTCCCTTTGTCTGTAACACTCAAGATGGCATTTTACGCAATCTTCTCCGTGAAAACCAGAGTACATATCAAGATCCAAGTCATTTTAATGTATTCACTGGATTGGCGAGAGTGTCTTTAGTGATTTAAATATAGCCTCACTACTTTGTAAATAAAATTACGGACGTTTAAAAATGTAGTTTTGTGCGATTTTTGTCAAATTTTCGTTCAATTTTTATCACATAATCGTCTATGAAATAGCGAACAGCTGTTCGGATCAAGATTATATTT